AAAAAGCATGGGGAATAACGTATCTGTACCTGAAGTCCACAGAACACAGCCTGAGATGGGAAGAGTGTTTCAGATGTTTTTCTGTGGAACTGTTCTCAGAATGAATGGAAAGTAAGCACAGAATAATGGGAAAAAAATGAAAGCAACTTCAGTCGGATCCCACCCATGCAAAAAGCTGGGAGAACACTGCTAGCCAGTCAGTCCTACTATGAAGGAAGGGGCTGGACCTCTAACTCCTCTACCTAATTACAGTTTGCATCACTTACGCCCGTGGGGCAGGGCAGGGGATAATTCAAAGCACCTATCAGGAAGCCATTCCTTTTGGCCAAGTTCAATTCTTTGGAGAACTGAAACCCTTCTTCAGCTCACTATTCACCTGAGGGATGAGGATGTACGATATGATAAAGAGGATCTGGGTGGACCGTAAGTAAAACCTATGCTAGGGAAGCTATTTTTGTAAGTTAACTGCAAAATGAAAAATTATCTAAGATTGTACTTAGTACCATGGTCTAAAAGTTGAGAATTCCCTTCTTGTACCTATGTTTTAGATCTAACAAATTTTTACACATGATCAATACTAGGAATGATATTTTGGAAAGGCAGTTGGATGAAACAGTTTCGAATTTATATCCATATGTATGGTTTTCAGAATTTGTTCTATTCGTTAAAACAAAGAAAATCCACAGATCTGAAAAAAAAATAAAAATAAAATAAAATAAAAAGAATTCTTATGTCAAAGGCAGTATAAAATGATTGCTAAATGAAATAGTGATCTTATCAGTGGACTGGAAATATTTAACTGGAGGCAGCTTTAAGGTTTGTTGGCCTTGAGTGTACAGAGAAAGCTTGAAATATATATTAAAAATTGTATGATACTGTGTATATAGTGATGGACATGATGATCTTGGAAAACTATTTTTAAAATACTGTATTCTTTTGAAGTGGTATTAATCACCTTTCTATGACAAGCACACTTATAGTAATCTTTAGGATAAGGTACTTGGATAAAGTCAGTAATGAAATTGGATCCTTACAGTAGAATCTTCAATTTTTTCAAAATCTTCGATGTTCTGCTGCAGGAGCTACCAATCCGTCATCTAATAGTTGAAGAGAAAAAGAGTAATATTAAGATGCTGGTGTTTTCATTGTGGCAGTCTATGTGAAAGGCTTTCTCCTCCCCAAATCCCGCCATTCCAAGTCTGTGGAGAAGAGTGCAGAGAGAGCGCTCCACATCGCCCAAGTTCTCATAAATCTGAATCCTGCTTTGTCTTAAAACCACTGTTTCTTTGAGCGACCTTTGAAAAATATACCTGTACTCAATCATAATCCATTTCAAAACACCTAGACTACAGGATAAATACATGAGATTTCACTATGCATTTGTTTTCTTTCTAGGATAAAGAGGCACAGACAGAGGTGAAAGCAATAATCAAGTCCTTGAAGAGGTAAATAAAAGAATACTTTTCAGCAAATCTGATCTGGTCTTCTAAAATTTAAGTACTCAGTTGTGTTTTTTTCATTCTGTTTTCCTTTTGTTGTAAGGTAATGTATTTAGGCTTAAAGGTAAAACCATATTTCTGTGAAATGCCTTCCACTAATAGCACAACAAAACAAATAATATTATTTGGAGAACATTTAATGTCTGTACATGTTGGTTTATAAACACATGCTTTATTTTTTCTATCAATAAACTATAGCTTTCAGAATATTTAAGACATTTAAATCAACCAATAAAGTCAACTCTAGTGAACATTTTGTTGTTTTAATGGGGACCATAAAATCTAATAATTTAGGCTGAGGCTGAGGCTGGGGAGATGGCTCAGTAGAATAAGCACTTGCTGGCAAGCACAAGAGCCTGAGTTTAATCCCCAGTTCCACAAAAAAAACCTAATAATTTAATCAATTGGATGAAAACAGTAAACAGAGTTATTGGTAGAAAAAAAGGATAAACATACTTAGTATTTGAATAAATGTGAGTAAAATTGCAAACCAGTTTTACTTTCAAATTTACATTTTCCTCTTCATTTAGAAAGCATTGTATATTGGTGACATTGCCATAAGATGAAATATTCTCATATACTGTTAAGGGGAAGATATTTTTGCACAACTTCAGTAAAATATATCTAAGGTCTTAAAAACATGTAAACCTTAATCTTATAATTCTATGTTTCATGGAAATAAAGAGAAAATGCAAACATTTGTGCTTAAATGTCTATAGGAACATGACACTATATTCAACGATACACAATTTATCACATTAGAATTTAACTGTGACATAATATTTTGACATCAAAAATAGTTATAGAAGTGATATGGGGAAATGTAGAGAGCATTTTAAGAATATAACGAAATAGTACGTGTATATAATTTCAGCCATATGGAAATCTATACAGAAAAGCAGTAGGAAATAGAGTAAAATGAAAATAGTTTATATTTCTGGGAAGCTGTGTCTTATTTCCTGTATTTCCAGATTTTATTTAATTTTTTTATTTCTTATAAGTATTACTAATTTTATCAAACACTGGACTTCGGTGCATACATTTGGATCACGTCCATCCACTATGACCCTCCCCCATACTCCAGTTCTCCTCCCACTCATTCCCTTCTTCTGTTAAAGGAGAATAGTCTCCATTCTACTTGCATATCACCATTTTTAGATTTCATATATTTGGGAAAACATGCAGGACTTATTAGTCAACATGGTGATCTCAAGATCCATCCATTTTCCTGCAAATGGCAAAATTTTGTTTTTTACAGCTGGATAACACTAGGCATGTATACCACGTTTCTTTTCCATTTATTTATTGCTAGCCACGTAGGCTGCCTTCCATATCTCGACTATTATAAATTGTGCTGCAGTACTCACCCATATGCTAGTATCCCTATAGTAAACTGACCATAATTCCTTCAAGTATTTACCAAGGAGTGATATAGTTGCATCAAATGGTGGCTCTCTTTTTAGTTTGTTGAGGAGCCTCCATTGACTACCTAGTGGCTGTACTAATTTACATTCCTACCAGCAGAATAGAATGGATCCTTCTCCCCTAAATTCTCCCCAGCATTTGTGTGTGTGTGTGTGTGTGTGTGTGTGTGTGTGTGTGTGTGTGTGTCCTCACTGGCCATTGTAACTGGATGAAATGAAATTTCAATGTAGTTTTGATTTGGAGCTCCCTAGAGGCTAAAGATGTTGAACTTGTTTTTCATATACTTATTGGCCTCTTGTACTTCTCTTGAGAAGTGTCAGTTCAGTTCCCTTTTTATGTATTGACTGGCTGTTTGATTGTTTTGATTGTTTTTAGTTCTTTATATATTCTAGCTGTTAATCCTGTGTCGAAAGAGTGGCTAGCAAAGATGTTCTCCTCTTTTGTAGGTTGCTTTTCATTCTGTTAGTTATTTTACGTGTGGTGTAGAAATTTTTGAATTTGATATCCTGTTTGTTGATTCTTGCTTGATATTATTTCCTGTATGACTGGAGTCCTATTCAGGAGATCTTTGCCTATGCCTATGACTTCAAGTGTCTCCTCTCTGTTTTTTTCCAGCAGTTTTAGAGTTTCAGGTCTTATATCTAGGCCTAATATCCATTTTGAAATTGATTTTTAGACATGGTAAAATGTAAGGCTCTCATTTCAATCTTCTATTTATGGATATCCAGTTTTCCCCTAGAGGCTGTCTTTTCTCCAATGCATTTTTGAGTCCCTTGTCCAGAGTTAGCTCTAGTTGTAGGCATTTCTTTCTGTACCCTCTGTTTCTTTCCACTGGTCTATGTGTCTATTTTTGTGTCAGTTCCATGCTTTTTGTTACTATGGCTTTGTAGTATAATTTGAAATTGAGTATTAGGATACTTGGAGCCTTGCCACTTTTGCTTTGGATTTATTTGGCTATTCTGGGTATTTTGTGTTTCTATATGAAGTTTAGGATTGCTTTTTTCCTAGTTCTGTGAAAATTTTGATTTGATATTTAAATGAAGATTACATTGAATCTGTAGATTCCTTTTGTTCAGAAGGCCATTTGAGCAATATCAGTTCTTCCAATCCATGATCATGGTAGTTCGTCCATCTTCTAGTGTGTTGTTCAATTTCTTTTATTTCCATGTTGTAATATTTTTATTGTAGAGGTCCCTTGCTTCCTTGATTAGATTGATTCATAGATTTTTTAATTGCAAATGGGATTATTTTTCTGATTTCTTTCTCAGCTAATCCATTGTTAGTGTATACAAAAATTATTGATTTTTAGTGCTGATTTTATATCCTGCTATGTTGCTTAATTCATTTAATAACTCTTAAAATCTTTTGGTGGAATCTTTACAGTCTTTTAATTTTAGGATCATATCATCTGCAAACAAAAATAATTTTACTTCTTTCTTTCCTCCCTGTTCATTTTATGTCTTCTCTTGCCTTCTTGTTCAAGCCAAAATTTTAAGTACTATATTGAATAGGAGTGGTGGGAGTGGAAACACTTGCCTCATTTCAGATTTGAGAGGAAATTCTTTTATTTTTTCCTCATTTAGAATGGTACTGACAGGGCTGGCCAGATAGCTCAGCAGACTAAAGTGCCTGCTTAGGCAAAGCACAGGGACCGGGGTTCAATCCCCAGTGTGCTGTGCCAGCCCTGACCCCAGGGTGCGCTGAGACAGAGATTGAGATTGGGCATGGTGGTACGCACCTGTAATCCTTACACTTGGGAGACTGAAAACAGGAGAATCACTACAAGTCTGATCTGTATAGTGAGACCCTGTAGATCCTTTAGACCCTAACCTAAATATATAAAAAAAGAAAGAATGGTATTGATTGTGCTTTGTCATATTATGACTTTTATTGGGGTTTTTTTGTTTTGTTTTGTTTTGTTTTTTGGTACCAGGAACCGAACTCGGGGCCTTGTGGTTGCCAGGCAGGTTCTGTGCTTCTGAGCTATATCCTCAGCCCTTGGCTTTTACTATATTGAGAATATGTTCCTTCTATCCAGTTTCTTTGGGGCTTTTATCATGAAAGGATGTTGAATTTTGTCAAAAGCTTTTTTTCCATCAATTGAAACAATCATGTGATCTTTATCCTTAGCTCTATTTATGTGATGTAACAATTGATTTGTTTGTGTTGAACCATCCTTGCATCCCTGCAGTGAAATGAACTTGATCATGGTGTGTATATTGAATTTGGTTTGTATTTTATTAAGAATTTGTATAGCAGGAATTATTTAAGAAAGATGACCTTTTTATTTTTAAAATTAATTTTATTGATACATTTTAGATGTACAGAATGATTACATTCATCATAGGGAATTTGTGCTTAATTATTTTTTCCCATTCCCCTACCCTATATTTCACTCCTCGTCCCCTCCCTATTTACACATCTTTGTTTTCATTTTTTTCCTTCCTTTCTCCTTTTTTTCTTTCCACTTCCTTCCTTCCTCTTTATTCCTCCCTAGCTCATTTTCCCATTTGAGCATTCTCTTCCTATTTCATATATACATCTTTGGTCCTTATATACACTTTTGCTTCTGTGCTCATAAAGGGTATGTGTGTATAGTTATTCTTTCTTTGTTTTGCCCTTCTGCAGTTTGGATATCAGGGTGATACTGGCCTCACAGCATGAGTTTGGAAGCATTCCTTCTCTTTCTGTTTCATGGAATAACTTGAGCAGTGATGTTAATTCTGCTTTAAAAGTCTGATAAAGGGGCCAGCGAGATAGCTCAGCAGACTAAAGCGCCCCCTTAGGTAAGCTTAGCAAGTACAGGGACCATGGTTTGATCTCTGGCACCACATGCAGTGCCAGCCCCGTCCCCAGGGCAGGCTGAGCTGGCCGCAGAGTCTAGGCATTACTAGTGGCATAGGCCTGTAATCCCAGCACTGAGGAGGCAGAACACAGGAAGATCACTGTAAGTCCAAGCTGTGTAGTGAAACTCTGTAACAACCATATACATTAAAAATGATAATAATAATAAATAAAAGTCTGATAAAATTCAGCAGTGAACTTGTCTGGTCCTGGGCTGTTCTTTTTTAGAAACTTTTTATAATTGCTTTATATGTCACTGCTGGTTATTGATCATTTTGGTTTTTTTTAAATCCTTCTTAATTCCATATGGTAGATCATATGTGTATAGAAATATATCCATTTCTTTTAAATTGTCCTGTGAGGGGGCTTTGCTGGATAGCTCAGTGGTTTAAAGTGCCACTTGGGTAAACACAGGGAGGCACATAGGACTGCGGTACTCCAGAAGCTGTACCAGACCTGCCCTTAAGGCAGCCTGAAGTAGCCACCTCGCAAAAAAAAAAAAAAAAAAAAAAAAAAAAAAAAACTTCTCAGAGAGCAAATTGGTCAAACAATGGCCATGACCCATCCGCATGGCTGACACTGACAAAGGATCTACAAACTGCGGTACAGGGATTCAGGGTAAATCCTGAGGGGATTTGACTGACCTTGTCAGATACAAAAGTTACATTTCTTGCTATATAGGTCTTGCTTTATCTTGGTCTTAACAGTCCAGTAGAAAAGTATAAAAATGAGGTATAAAAAGTAAAGCCATATTAATATGCTGAGCTGCAAAAGGCTCAAGTCAACAACTTTTGACATTGCCAGTTCTATGGATAACCTACTACCATTATGGACTACTGGACTATATTGGATTATTTTGCTGAATTCACGCACCTACAATATTTAAATGACAATGGAATACCCATCTCTGACAAAACTAAACAAATAGAGGGGATACAAATAAAGGACCATTTTGTATCTGTATATACAAAATAGGATAGATATACAGCTACTTTTTCTTAATTGAATAAGAAAAAAGATTTGTACTAATAGTGTTTGTGGACAGGATTTCATGTCTGCATCATGTACTATGAATAACCACTACAAAGACCACAATATATAATATATTAATTATTGAAACTGTTCTGTTAATCGATTTTGAAACTATCTCATTGCTATTTGTTTCTCAATAAAATTAATAAAAATTTAAAAATTCTCCTGTGAGAATATAGGTTTTCAGAGGTTTGTTAATCCTCTGGTTTTCAGTGGTGTCATTTGGAGCATTCCCTTTTTTCATCTCTAGTTGTATTGATTTGGATCTTCTTTCTTTTGGATAATTTTGCTAAGTTTATATCAATCTTATTTATTTTTCAAAGAACCAACTCTTCATTGATTTGTACATTGTTCTGTCAATCTATATTTCACTAATTTCAGCTGTAATCTTCATTATTTCTCTCCTTGAGTTTGGTTTTTGTTTGTTCTTATCTGTGTAAAACCTTGAGATGCACCATTATGTTATTTATTGAAGATCTCTCGAGTTTTTTGATGTCAGTACTCACAGCTGTAGCTTTCTTAAACTGCCTTTTCTACATTTCAGGGATTTTGGTGTGTTGTGTTTCTTTTTCCATTTAATTTTAGGAATCTTTTCACCCCCACCCCAGATTTCTTCAATAACACTGGTTATTCAAAAGTGAATTGTTCCAAAAAAGTGAATTGTCTGTATAATTTCTCTTGTTGATTTCTAGCTTTATTCCATTATGATCTGATAAGGTGCAGGAAATTCTTTTTTTATTTTTAAGACTTTCTTGATGGCTTAAAATATGATCTATTTTGGAGAACATTGAGAGTAATATATGTTTCATAGTTTTGGATGAAAATGGTGTAGATATCTGTTAAATCCATTAATTGTATGATATATTTTAACTTTGTTGCTGACTTTTCTGTCTGGGTGACCTATCTATTGGTGAGAATAGAGTATTGAAGTTACTTACTATTTTTGTACTGGGACCTATGTGCACTTTATGTTCAGTAGTGTTTATTTTATAAAATTGGGTAGGCCAGTGTTAAGTGAATTTGTATTTACAATTGTCATATCTTCTTGGTGGATTGTTCTCTTTACCAATACGTGGTGGCCTTTTTTTCTCTTATCTGATTATATTGTCCTGAAGTCTGCTTTGTCATATATGAATACAGCTACTCCTGATTGTTTTCAGGTTTCATTGTACAGACTATTGTTTTCCATCCTTTCACCTTAGTCTGTGTATGACTTTGCTAGTGAATTCTGTTTCCAAGAGACAGCAAAGTTGGGTCCTTTTTAAAATCCAGTCTGTGAGTACATGTCTTTTAATTGGAAAATTAAAACTGGTTATATGCAAAATTATAGAAAGATCTGTTCTACTTCTATCATTGTGTTATTTTTCTAATTTTTCTAATCTACCTTCCCCCTTCTGTGCATTGGATTCCTTTAAGTATCATATGCAATGATAGCTTACTCGTTATGAATTCCTTTAGTTTATAGTTATCCTGAAAGGTCTTTCTCTATTTTGAAGGACATCTTTGCGGGGTATAATAATCTAAGTTAGAAGTTATATTTTTAGGGGTTAAAATATATTGTGACATGCCTTTCTGGCCTTTTAGGTAGCATCTGTATAGAGAAATCTGAAGTTATTCTGACAAGTGTGATTATAAGTGACTTGGTGGGTCACAGGGAATTTCACACAAAGTGAGCCATATGTACTCTAATTTTCTATGGTTGCTTATTCATCACCTAGGGTGCTTGACATTGAAGGAGACAGAATACCTGAAGAATGTTGCTGAAATGTGGATTTCTCCTGTTGGGCCACTAAGGCCAAGCCATGGGTACACCTTTCATTCACAGATGAAGTACACCAACTGCTAACCTCGCAAAGAACATCATGCACAACTTTGGAAATGGGGAGTTCAGAACCAGAACTTCAGAGGTGCTCAACTTCAGAAGAGAAGAATCAAGTCTTTTTGCAATTTCTCATAAAACATTAAAGAAGTAACTTAATGTTCCACTAAAAGCTTAAGGCTTGTCATGTCCATGTGATTGCACTGTTAGCTCTCTTTCTTGCTAAATAACAAATGGCCTTCATTATAACATAACAATTTATGCCATTTTTTAATCGGATTTATAAGCTATCCAAAGCTTCCCGTGTTATAATACCTTTTGTATTTTTTAATTACAGAAAGCAGTGGCAAAATTGGAAAGGACCATAAATAAAGTATTCTTCAGTCTTCTGAAGAACTTCTCATCTTACCAATGAGCAATTTAAACTGATGTACAGATAACGCCACCAACATCAGAGAATTATACTGGCTGCTCCCAGCTAGGTTCCAGGTCTTAAAATCTCAGGTCTTCTGCATACTACTTTGAGCATAAGGCTATTTGCATTCAAATGATTGGTGCCTAATGTACCTGGTACACTGTGGGGGCTCTGAGAAGGGTAACCATGCAATTTATTTGATCCTTATATCAACCCTATGGGGAAGGTATGTTTGATTTTACCCTATTTACAGGAAGGGGGACTAAAACATAAGATGTTAAAGTTCACCCCTACCACAGAAAGAAATATGAAGCTGGGTAGGCTGCTCCAGAGTCCGTGCTGTGGTCTGGGCCCTGTACAGTCTTGTCAGCATATGGGGGACAGGGGGACACAAGGAATAGAAGAAGGTGGATGGAGAGCAAGACAGCAGAAAGGACAGGAAAGGAAGGGGAATCTTTAAAAAGTAGAGAGATATCTTAAGGAAAAAGAAAAGAAACCTAGCAAATAAAGGTAAAGAAAAACCTTGTATTTGTTTGTTGTTTTGGTTTGGGTTTTTGTGGGGTTTTTTTATACTCCCATGCTTTGTCTATTTTCTTATATTAAATCCTTCTCATATACCCAAACTCTCCTCCCCCAATCAAGATAAGGAAATGTGGTCATGAAGCCTAATTTTAATTGAAAACTTGTCTGTATATGTAGGGAGAACCTCCTTGTGGATTTTATGACCTATTAATTGTGCAGTTAATAAGACAAGCTTTATTTCACAAGGATAAAGTACATTTTAGGGGCAAGTAAAGCTACTGTCTGAAGTCCTATGATTTGGGAGCTGTTCAACCAAAATGTGGTTTAGGCACTTAAAACCAAAATTAAGGCTGAGCTTTACAATAGTTTTACAGAGGTATAATTGACCTATAAGAAATTAAGCATATTTAAAGTATACAGTGTGGTAAATTTTTACACTTGTATGTATTCTTGGTTAAGATAAATCTTTCATGGCATAAAAAAAGTTGTTCATGCCTGTTTATGTCTCTCCTCTCTTTCTTTGTACCTCCACTCCAAGCAACCACTGATCTGATTTTTGTTACAATAATTTATATTTCTAGAATTTTATACAGATAGAATTGTACATTATGTATTCTTTTCTGACTTTTTCATTAGGCTAATTATTTTTCAGTACATCTACATTGTAGCATGTACTTACAATTCATCCCTTTTTATTTCAGAGTTGTATTTTATTCCATGGATATATCGTGGTTCCTTTCCAAATTCCCCTATTGATGGACATATGGGCTGTTTATAGTATTTGATTATTACAAATAAATCTTGTGTGAACATTCATATATAAAGTGTTTGAATGGATATATATGTTTTTCATTTATCTTGGATAAATACCCAAAGTAGAAAGGATGGTTAATGTATGTCTATCATTTTAAAGACTCAGTCTTTCCAAAGTGGTGCTGCCATTTTAAATTTTTACCAATAGAGTATGAAGTCCCACATGTTCAACCTTCTTAACGACACTTGGTGTAATTATTGTTGTAAATTTTAGCCACTGCATTAGGCCTGTAGTGATATTGGATTGGAGTTTAATTTGTATTTCCCTAATGACAGGTGATGTTCAGCATTATTTCATTGTACATATTTGTATACTTTGATAGTGAAGTGCCTATATGTATTTTTGCCCACAATTTAAATGGGATCATTGGGGCTTTTACATAGACTTTGAGGTATAGCTTTAAGCTCATTTGTTGTGTCATTTGGGTAAGTGATTATTCTAGCACCATTTGTTGAACAAATTCATTTTTTAAAAATGTATTGAATGCAGGGTCTCACTACACAAATCAGACTCATAGTGATCCTCCTGTTTTCAGCCTCCCAAGCACTGGGATGATAAGTGTGCATCACTATGCCCAGTCTCAGACACCAAGTCAGCACACCCTAGGGGTGGGGCTAGCACGACATGCCAGGGATTGAACTCTGGTCACTGCACCTGTTTAAGCAGATGCTTTAATCTGCTGAGCTATCTGGCCGGCCCTTGAACAAACTCCTGATTCTTCTCTGGATCACCTTTGTGCCTTGAAAAAAGTCAGGTAGATAGATACATAGATGGATGAAAGAATTTCAGCTTTCTATGATTTTGCATTGATCTATTTACTAACCTTCATGCCAGTACCATATTGTTATCATAGTTTTAAAATAAGGTAGTGTCAATTGTGCAACTTTGTTTTCTTTTTTCTTTTTTTTTGTCTTTTTTATTTTTTAAAGAAAGTAAAAATTAGAATTAAAACAAAAAAATAACAAGTGATGCAGAATTTCATTTAATAAAGTAATATGAATTTCATAGTATTTGTTGTAATACATAATGTTGTCTTGGGCTGGCGGTATAGCTCAGCTTACTAAGCGCTTGCTTAGATAAGCACAGGTATCAGGGTTCAATTCCTGGCTCTGCATGCTGTACTGGCCCTTCCCCCAGGGACGCTGAGCTGGTGATGGAGTCCGAAAGTGGTGGTGTGTGCCTGTAATCCCAGCACTAAGGAGGATCACTATGACTCTAGGCTGTGTAGTGAGACCCTGCACACACAAACACACAAAAAAGCCCCATGCTGGAACATAATGTTGTCTTCCAACCAGTTATTCATATTACCAGATATATGCATGTAAAATTGGAAGAAGAAAGAAAAACAGAAAGAAATGTATAGATAATTAAGAAGAGAAAAAGCGCAAACAATTGAAAACAGGAGGCAAAACAAATTAAAGCACCGCTTCTTTCCATAAACCAGCAGAAATGCACAGTACTGTTGTGCAAACCATCCTGCATACATACATACATAGCTATATCTCTTTTTCCCCACTCCCTTTCCTGTCCTTCTCTTCAACTCAGTAACTTTTTCCTTTTGAATAAGTTCACTCTTAGCAGTGTCTACTGTATCCTTCAGATTCCATTTTTCTCTCTCAGGTTCTCACACTAAGGAGACAAGATGATGTTTGCATATGCAGGTCTGATTTATTTCACTTAAAGAGTATGTTCTCCTCAACTTTGTTTTTTAAATTTGTTTTGGCTATTATAGATGTTTTGCTTTTCCATATGAGTTTTATAATCAGTTTTTATTTTTGCCCCACCATACCAAAAAAAAAGTGGCTGAAATTTTGATTGGCATTGTACTGACCAATATGAAAAGCATTGACAACAATATTAAGTCTTCAAACTATTAATATAATTTACCTCTGTTTATGCCTTTAATTTCTCACAACAATGTTTTTAAGTTTGCAGCGTGGATTTTTTATTTTGTATGTTAACTTTACACCAAGTTATTTCATATTTGAACACTGTTTTCTTTACAGTTTCTGAATTTTTTATATGGAAATTCAATTGATTTTTGTATTTTTGTGTGTGTATGTGGTACTGAGGATCGAACCCAGAGCCTCATGCACATAAGGCAAGGGCTCTGCCACTGAGCCACATCCCCAGTCCTGTACATTGGTCCTGCATCCTGTGACCTCTTTAACTTCACTCATTATTTCTACCAGTTTTGCTATAGATTCCGTTTGATTTTATTCATAATCACATCTTTTATGAATAAGAACATTTTACTTCTTTCTTTTTAATCTCCCCTCAAATATACCGCCAGCAGTAGGATGAAGATTTGGAGGCCATCCAGTTCTATCTTATGAGAAATTCTAGGCTAATTTGGTGATAAAGATGGTCAGTAGGCAGGTTCCAACTTCCACTTTAGCTAATCCCAATAACAGCTTGTTCCTGAGAACCCTTATTAAACTTCAGCCATGTCTCTGGCTACCAAAGAGGACATAAACAAGATGTTACCTATGCCTTACTCAGTCCTCACTCAAGGTTCGAAACTTACTGGGGCCTACCCACAGCAGGAAGTGAAGTGGGATGGACACTGGAAGTGCAGGGGCCGGGAGGAGCTGGACCAGCTGTGGCAGTAGGGTCATCCTGGCCCAGCCCATTGTGCTCAAAGACCTGAAGTTCTCCAAGGGCTCACTTTGAAGAAGGGCTCCTAAGGAAGTTACTGTATGCCACAGAGAAGTAAGACTGAGAGGATATTTACCAAAGCATCCATAATGAAATACAAATATAACTGAATTGTGCCAGAGCAAAAACCAGTATTTCATCATCTGTCATCTCAATACAAAATGACATTAAATAATTAATGCCATCTGGGGGCCGGGGAGATGGCTCAGTAGGATAAGCACTTGACTGGCAAACACAAGCATCTGAGTTCAATCCCCGGTTCTGCCAAAATAATAATAATAATAATAATTAATACCATTTGATAAAGTACACAAAGACTATGTGGCAAAATGCTAAGGAAAATACAGGGCTGCTACACAGTTAATATATTTTCTGGATTTTGTGATAATTGTAATGTTTATAATTTTTAGTTTTATAATTTATAATGTCATTTCCATTCTAAATAGTCATTTTGAACCCCAATTTTATATTTGTATATTTGCATCATTTTTTCTAAAGATTCCCCAAATTGTGTAAGCTTCAGGCTTCTGCAAAATTGGAATCACCCCCCAGATAGTCCTACGGTATTAGCACAGTAAATGTTTGATTACAACTGCAAAGGATCCTGAACTCCTAGAAATAAAATAAATCTCAAAGAGTAATATAAACATCTGAACTTGTGACTTGACTGTAAAATCACTACCTTTATGACTAGGGCCTGTAAAAAATCATGACAGTCAATATTGGTTATTAGATGAATTCCATGCCCTACATGGTAGGGCCTGTTTGCCTAGCTTCAAGGGCCCATCCAATTAAGGCTCTGCCAGAGAACATAGTTATGTATCTGTCATTGATAATTTTTCTCAATAATGAATTAGGTTTCTAAATTTTAAAATTGTTGGGAGTATAAACATATCACATTCCAGACAGAGTGATTGATTGGCAAGCCTGGGACTCCTGCTGTTTGGCTTAGTATTTTTTTTCCCTACCTAAAAGCACCTATACTTATGACCACTCATGGAGCTCTTTCTCAGACAAACCCTGGTCGAAGTGATGGAAGCCTTGTCATAAAACCTTCCCAACTGAGACAGAAGAGGCAGGCCTGATGCTTCTTAAATGGTACTTTTAATTTGTATTTTGAAGTTGCCCCAAATATCATTTAGCCAGCCACAGCTCCATCAGGTGCTGAATGGCTACTCAGAGATAATCACTTTAGCTGAAACAAGCTTTGTTGTTGGACCTATTCCAGAGGATTCTGCCTCTGAATGACTGACTATTCATCTGTAGCCCTTCTCAGTGCGGTCCACCCTTCGTCTACCCCTAATGAAACAAATTCTGATACTGTGCATAAGCCAGTAGCTTAAATGGGTAATACTAAAGGCAGTTAACAGCTAGGTAATGACAGCAATAAAGAATTTCCAGGAGCTTCCATCTGTAGGGCTAGAAGAACTCTTAAGGTTTGTCAGTAGCTGCT